ATCCCCATAACATGGTGCTACCACCATCATACTTCGTGGTGGGAGTAGTGTTACCTGGCTGCTGTGCAGTGTTTTAATTTGCTTAGCATTAACACCAAAAGTTTTCACTTCAGTCTCGTCAAACCGCATCACACCACAAGACTTTCTGTCTCATCTCTGTAGTATCTTCTAGATGGTGTGTTTCAAAGTCTTTGGGGGCAAGAACATGGGTTTTCTCAGCCAGGTCTTCTTCCTAGTAATCTTTCTAGAAAAGTCTTTTTTGTGGAGTTCCTTGGAGATTGTTGATCCATGTACATTATCTTTTGTAACTCATTCAATGTCACAGTTGGCCTCACAGGAGCTTCTCTGATAAGTGCCCTTCTTGCCCCGAGCTACATTTAAGGGGGTGGCCTGATATAGACAGTGTTTCTGTAGTTTCTTACTTCTTCCACTTCTGTACAACGGACTCAGTGCTTTGGCAATGGTCTTGGACCCTTTTCAAGATTTGTGCCTCTTTATAATCATAGCCTTGACTTATCTGGAATGCTCTTTCATCTTAATTTGGAGTCTTTTTTTTAATAAAATCTCTACCATGCGCTAGGACCTCACAGAGGGAAGGGTATTTATATTTACAAGATAACTGTCAATGGGTGATCCACTAATTTCTTACACAGTTGGAGTCAATCAACAAATTGTATGACTTTTGAGGCAATCTATTGCAAATTTGAGTTTGCGGTTACAAAGGGACTGCACAGTTTTTACATTTAATACATTACAGCTTTTCATTTTTAATAAACTTCAAAGGTTTTGGACCATTTATTTTGTTTTAACATGGTAGTCAATAATTTGTGGATCGGTGCCAAAAAATCCAACTTCATTCTCTTTCAAATTCAGGATCTGGATCAACAAAATGTGAAAAAAAGAGTTGGGGGCTGAATTCTTTTTCAAGGCACTGTAATTATAGAACCTTCTCATTTTTCTTAACTTTTCAATTTGATGTGCCTCTCTGTTCTGTGGCTTTTCAAGGACATATCCGGTTGTCCTTGAGTAAAAAAAATTCTCAAAAGACATAAATTGATTAAAGATGACGACAGCAAGCAATGTTATCTTTCAGTGCAAAAGGTTAGAATACTTCTGTTTTGTGTAACCATGATTTTTATATAGAAAACAGATCTTCTCATTCAAGGTTAATTACGAAGCCCTTAAAAATGGAGAGCACTTGAAAGCTGAAATGTTCAGGATGGTCTGAAATGAGAATTTCTCATAACACCAACTTAAAGGAAAGCAAAATCCAAACCCAACAAGGGGGGTTATGGGAAGGACTAGAGGGAGGTTTCGAATATATGCCAATCTCTTATTTTCCCCTAGACTTCAGTACCGTGATTTGTGTTCATTTTTGATTTGTTCAGACATGCTCCGCAGTGGGGACTCGGTGAAGTGGGTCCCCTCACTGTACCCAGACCTGTACACACCTTCCTCTCCCTCCTGGTCTCTACATTGGGCGTACCGGGATGGGCAGCTGGTGAATACTCCCATCAGTGTGCTGGTGGAGGGAGACGTGATCGCCCTCCGACCTGGCCAGGAGTCCTTCGCCTCACTGCGAGGTATCAAGGTATGTCCTTTCTCTCTGCAGCAGCCGTTACATTTGCAGTCTCCGGTTCTATATTCCGTCCGTCTTGGTTTCACGGCGGTGGCGGTCGGGCCAGAATGAGACACTCCTCCATTCCTTTCTCCAGTGCCAAGTTGTAAGCACCTGAGCGATTGTCAAGGAGACTTGGCACCGTTCAGAGGAGTGGGGCACCTCGTGCTGATATCACTGCGAGCTTGCAGTAATTACCATTTGCTGGGAGGCTGGGCTCCCTGGATGACAGTGCCTTCCCTACCATGGCAGCTGCATCACCACCACCTGCATGTGTTTCCTCTGTGTGAAATAGGGTTCATTAAAGAGAAGTATTTAATGAAGATACACTTAAAGACAAGGTAGAGGAGAGAGCAACACCTGGAGGAAGGAAAGAGGAGAACTCTACTGTGCCCGTTACCCATGGCCAGTTTCACTCTGGCTGAGGTGTGGCTGGAGTGTGTCTCCACTGGGGCTCACACTGTATCATTCCTCCACCAGCCCAATCAACTTTTCCATTCTGCCGCTGGAATAACTGTTTGAGCCAGAAGAAGAATCCATCTTTAAAACTGTAGCATAATTTGGTTAATTTATCAGGAACATTTATAAATATAAGTTGTGTAAATAAAAAATAGGACCATTGTAGGAGTATATTTTTTTCCTCCTGAGTATTTGTGTATCAGGACATATGACAATGGAATGAGTATAGTTCTATGAGCATTCTCACCAGCACATATTCTGTTCCTTATTCTCCTGCACTTTGCATCCCTGCTACTTTTGTCTTTCTCCCTCACACTAGAATTTAACCTCTGCTTATCATGCTGTATTAACATTTCTGTTTTTAAGTGTACAGTAGCAAAACTACACTGTTCATGTTTAAGCATCCTTCTGATCATTATAGTGCTTTAATGGATTACCTGTTTAGTAAATAATTGTTAATAATTTCCAATAACTTCTCGCTGCACAGTAACTTGAATTCAAAGACTTCCAGTATACGAAGAAGAATACAGGTAGACTGTTGACTCATTTCTTTAAGTACTGAGACACACTTAGATCAGCCAACTAAGCTGCTACTGGAAACATGGAGTGTAGAGAGGCCTGAGGGTAACATTGATCTGTAGCTGAAAGGATCTGTACCTCCCTATTGCTTCTCTGAGGAGCCTCTGTTGATTAAAGGCCAAGGCTTTGTTGAATATAAAGAAACTACTTCTGTTTCTACCAGAAAGATAAAAGCTTTGATTCCATAAAGGCAAAATGTGGCTTTTCATGGTTTTCATTTGCAAAGAGGTTTTTTTCCCTTCCTTTGATGCTGCAGGAGAACGAGGTATTTGGAACAAGTAATTACTCACGACGTATGATTGTTTGATACCGTACTTCAATTACTTCAATGACGATACCGTAATATTGCTCCAACCAAAACATGTTTTTCTGGTTTGTTCATTCCTACCTTGCAAAGTTAAAATGAATACATTAGCTAGATGAATAATGTCAGTCTATGTAGTTTGATTTTGAAACACTGCGGAGGAAATTGGCTTGCTGCAATTTATCAACTTGATCCATTTCAGCTGTCACAAGCTGCAGGAGATTCTAAAACAGCGAAGAAACTTGTGGCAAACTTGTAAACTTGTGCTGTGATGTTCATAGGTAAAACAGATGACTGTCAAATGGTGGTAAAACATGGTAAAGCAGGGATAGGCAAAGCATGAAGCAGCCATGGCAAACAAAGACAGTGTGTTGTATATGGTAACACCTTTGGGTAGCCCTCACTCACTGCGCCCTGTGTCTGTTCTCAGGATGACGAGCACATTGTCCTGGAGCCGGGGGACCTGTTTCCCCCCTTCTCCCCTCCCCCGTCTCCCCGGGGCAACGAGAAGAAGGGTCCCCAGAGCCCCCAGCAGTTCCGCCTCTTCAGGGTGGTCCGTACCCCGGTCCTTGACAGCGTCAGGTGGGCATCCACAACCTCATGTGTATGACAGAGAAAACAATGCTCAGAACAAGCAGTCTTTTCCTTTCCAGGTCTCAGCTTACACCAGAACAGCAGCTCTGTGTTATCTGCACTGCAGCACTATGCGGTTCCATTTCATCATATTCAGCAGTACTTTTGAAAATTCCTCAGAAATGAAGTGAAAGTCCAACCTTGTCATCATAACTCACATCCCCACACGGTTGTAAAAGCTGTAGCTGAGCAACTGTTCAGGATCCCACACGCAGCCTTGGCAACTCAACAAAAAAAAAAACACTTGACTCTCTACAGCAGCGCCACAATGATCAGCAACATAAAGAAATCGAATATTTCCAATATTTTTTCATCCATCCATCCAGCATTTTTAACTGCTTCATCCAGTTGAAGGAGGCGGATGAGCTAGTGCCTGTCCCAGCAAGCAATGGGTGCAATTCAGGATACAATCTGGACCATTGTAGGGCAGGCAGACATGAAAACAGACATGCACACACTCACACCATGGCCAATTTTCCCATACTCCAATTAACCTACCAGTATGTCTTTGGACTGTGGGAGGAAATCGGGGCACCTGGAGGAAGCCTACATGGGGAGGACATATTAACTCCATGCTGATAGAACCTCAGATCTGGAATTGAGCCCAGGGTTCCAGATATGAAGAGCAGCAATGCAAACCTCTGTGCTGTCATGCCACCTTAATATGATTTTTCACATTAAGTAATTTCTCATTCACACAATTTGGA